CAGCTAGGCATCCAATCTTTTTTTTCTTTTAATATGTATTATTGATTTCAGAGAGGAAGGGAGAGGGAGAGATAGAAACATCAATGATGAGAGAGGATCATTGATCGGCTGCCTCCTGCCTACTGGGGATGGAGCCTGCAACTCGGGCATGTGCCCTTGACTGGAATCGAACCTGGGACCCTTCTGACTGCAGACCAACGCTCTATCCACTAAGCCAAACCAGCTAGGGCAACAATAAATATTTTTTTAATAAAATAAAAATATATAAAGTGTAGCTAAAAAAAAAATTTTAATGTTTGAGATAGAACAAAAGACCCACCTCAGAATGAAAGGTACATACAGGCTGAAAGTAAAGGGAAGGAAAAGATATTTCATGCAGCCGAAACCGGTTTGGCTCAGTGGATAGAGCGTCGGCCTGCAGACTGAGGAGTCCCGTAAATATTTTTTTAATAAAATAAAAATATATAAAGTGTAGCTAAAAAAAAAATTTTAATGTTTGAGATAGAACAAAAGACCCACCTCAGAATGAAAGGTACATACAGGCTGAAAGTAAAGGGAAGGAAAAGATATTTCATGCAGCCGAAACCGGTTTGGCTCAGTGGATAGAGCGTCGGCCTGCAGACTGAGGAGTCCCGGGTTCGATTCCGGTCGGGGGCATCTACCTGGGTTGTGGGCACATCCCCAGTGGGGGATGTGCAGGAGGCAGCTGATCGATGTTTCTCTCTCATCGATGTTTCTAACTCTCTGTCTCTCTCCCTTCCTCTCTGTAAAAAATCAATAAAATGTATTTTTTTAAAAAAAGATATTTCATGCAAATGGAAGCAGAGAAAAAGCTGGGTAGCAATACTTATATCAGACAAAACTAGACTTTAAAACAAGGGCTATAATAAGAGACAAAGGAGGATATTATGTGATGATAAAGGGATCAATCCAAGAAGAGGATTGTAAACATTTATGTACCCAACATTCGAGCACCTAAATAGATAAAGCAAATTCTGTTGGACATAAAAGGAGAGATCAACAGTAGTAGGGTCCTATTAGGGAATTTTATCACCCCACTGACATCAATGTATAGATCTTCCAGACAGAAAATCAACAAGGAAATCATGGCCTTAAATGGCACACTAGACAAGATGGATTTTATTGATATTTTCAGAGCATTTTACTCCAAAGCAGCAGAATATGCATTCTTTTTAAGTGTACATGTTAGGACACAAAACATTAGTGTCAATAAATTATAAAATACTAGAGGCCCAGTGCACAAATTTGTGCATGGGTGGGGTCTGGCTGGCCCGCCCCAATGGGGGCCCATTGGGCAGGGCCAGTTGGGGGAGAAGGGCTGTGGGCCTTTGGCTGGCCGGCCCTGCTCCCAGTTGTAGTTTTGAGGGTTGATTTGGGGCTGGGCCAGCCGGAGGGGGTGGGGGTGCCGATGGGGGCCCGGATCAGATTGATTGGCTGCTGCAGTGTGTGTTATAGCCACCAGTTGTTCTGGTTGTTCCACCGTTCCAGTCACTGGGCTTTTATATATATAGTTTAAAATCATATCAAGCATCTTCTCTGACCACAGTGGTATGACACTAGAAATGAATTTTAAAAAAAACCTGAAGAAAACACAAGCACATCGAGGCTAAATAACTTGTTACTAAACAACAAATGGGTTAACAATGAGACCAAGGAAGAAATCAAAAGATACCTTGAGACAAATGAAAATAAACACAAAATCTATGGGCCACAGTTAGAGCAGTACAGGCTGCCTCAGAAAACAAGAAAATTCTCAAATAAACAATCTAAACTTACACCTAGAGCAGTGGTCGGCAAACTCATTAGTCAACAGAGCCAAATATCAACAGTACAATGATTGAAATACCTTTTGAGAGCCAAATTTTTTAAACTTAAACTATATAGGTAGGTACATTGTTATTAACTTAATTAGGGTACTCCTAACTGGCCTTTGCTAAAATAATAACAAAGCCACCAACACAAAATAATTACAATTCTTAAATTGATGACAAAAAAACCTGTAGGATTTGCAGCTGGTTGGAAAAATACAGGTAACTTTATGCTTCAAGTAGGTACTTTTGTCACCCGTGAGCGATTTGGGGATGCGACTAGCACTAACCACTGCACAATGAGACTGCTGACTGACTGGCTCACTCAACTGGTGCATGAATCGCAAGCGCCTCCCCTGCGCTGCATCTCCCGTTGTCGACCAACCGACACCCCCCACTTCTTCTAACGCCACTTCAAAATAGACTCGCCCAGGCCGAAAACCGACTTCTGCACATGGGCCACGAAGTTTCAATCACATTGTACATGCGTGCCTGCACGTGATATTTTGTGGAAGAGCCACACTCAAGGGGCCAAAGAGCTGCATGTGGCTCGTGAGCTGCGGTTTGCCAACCACTGACCTAGAGGAACTAGAAAAAGAACAACAAAGCCCAAAGTGAGTAGAAGGAAGGAGATAATAAAGATCAAATATCAAAGCAACAATAAACAAAATAGAGCCTTAAAAATAAAAAAGATCAATGAAACCAGGAGCTGGTTATTAATAAAAATAAGCAAGATTGACAAACATTGAATCAGGCACATCAATAAAAAAACAAGTAAAATCAGAAATGAAAGGGGAAAAGTAACAACTAACACCACAGAAAGAAGAAAACTAGAGGCCTGGTGCACGAATTTGTGCACAGGTGGGGCCTGGCTGGCCCACCCCAATGGGGGCTGATCAGGGGTGGGGCCAGCCAGGGGAGGGGCTGCGGGAGGTTGCAGGGGGCCAATCGGGGCCAATTGGGCCAGTGGCCACTGCAGTGCGCATCATAACAACCGGTCATCCGGTCGTTCTGTTGTTCCGGTCGCTTGGCTTTTATAAATATAGATATTATGGACATCTATATGCTAACAAATTGGACAATCTGGAAGTAATGGATATACTCCTAGAAACATATAATCTTCCAAAACTGAATCAAGAAGAAACAGAAAATCTGAATGGACCAATTACAACTAATGAAGTCAAAGCAGTAATCAAAAGCCTCCCACAGGTGGGCACTAGTGCCAGGCGGTACAGCATGGAGCCGCGTGGTAGACCTGCAGCAGCTCCGATGCAGGAGGCAGTGGACTCCCTGAGGAGGACATCGGCAGGCCCGTGTTCTGGTGCAGTGCGGCTGCTGTGAGGACAAAGTGCATTGGGTGCTGCCGTGCTTCTGGCTCAAGCCCAGGCCCTGGTGACTGGTGAGCTGGAGCAGAGGCAGGACCTCCCGGGCGGGTGCACGGTGCACTGTGCAGCATCGACAAAGCCAAAGGTTCAATAGATGCCGGGAGTAGAGCCAGGGGAGGCAGCTGTGTCACCAAGTGTGGGGATGCCCACACGAACCTCCTGCCAACCGTGACCAGAGACGAAGGCGTCTCCCCCTTCCTTCAGAAGCAGAAGCCTTTGCCATTGGCCATTGGGACTGCGGGCAGGAAACTATTTAAAAAGAAGAATGAGAATTTTGGTCTTTTAAGCGGGGTTTATGAATGAGGAGGTAGAGGATGGCAGCAAGTTTAAAGCACATGTCACTTTCCTCTGGACTCTGGTTCCCTGTGTTTTAATCCTAGGAAGTGAAACAGAAAAATATTGGTGCTAAAATTTGGGTCATAGACTTTTTTTTTATTGGGTCATAGACTTTTGAGAGCCTAAGTGTTATG